TTTGCTTGTTCTGAAAGGAATTCTCAGGAGGCGTCCAGCTCAGACCTGATCGTCTTCCCAGTTACGAGGCCCTGGTTTGGGCCTGGAGGGGACCGGCTGGGCTGGCGGCTCAACCGCTCCCGCCCTTCTAGGGAAGCCTTTCCAGGAGATCCCAGGAAGTGCAGTGATTAACACTAGCTGGGAAATGTCAGCTCTGACTCAATACCTTTAAAGCTGTGTGAATGACAACTTTGCAAGCAGTTGTGCCTTCTCTTTGAATCTGGATTGCAGCTGTGTCCCCTGCCCCCTCGCTTGTTTTGGTTTTAGAGGGACTAGGAACTGAGCATCATCCTTGGATGTTTAACAAACAAGATTTCTTGTTTACAAGGCTCACAAATAGGCTTGTCTGAAGAGGCATCCTGTCTATTTCTGTTGACAAAGACTGGAGGAAGGGCTTTCCTGGAAGCAGAAATGCTTTTTGGATTCAAAACGTGGGCAGCAGGGAGATGACCCCTGATGCAGCTTTTTAGTATCTTCTTAGCTCACCCTGTGGAAGAAAGTTCATGCATTTACAGATCAGTTAAGACACTGTCTGTTGTTGGTAACATTCAGATAAACCCTGGCAGAAAAGGGTTGCTTATGTGACTTTGTGTTGTAGAGTGCCTGCACCCCTTTCTCAGGGAGCACCCAACAATTCCAAGCCAGGTTTGTTGTTAGTGGCGAAGGAAGTTGTGTCGGACCCATCAGGACCCTGTTTAGCATTTGCTTAGAGTAAGGTGGGACCTGATAGCTTCCCCAAGAAGCTGCCAGGGCTCTTGTTTTTGCAATAGTAATAACTGATAAGGCAACCAGGTTTAAGCATTGCAATCTCCCTTATTTGCGTGCCAGAGTCTCCCTCAGTGATGGTTATGTTAATCTCCTCCAGTCAAATGCCATTGTATTGAGCCCCCTCTGCAGACCTTCCTCCTCCTCCTCCTCACTGTGATCACCTTATTTCATCATCAACTGCCCAGCTGCTGGGCCCATGTGACTCAGAATCTATAAAGCCAGTGTGGCGTAGTGGTTAAGAGCATGGGACTGGGACTCAGAGGATCTGGGTTCGAGTCCCCGCTCAGCCATGGAGCCAACTGGGTGACTCTGGGCCACTCACAGACTCTCAGCCCAACCTACCTCACAGGGTTGTTGTTGTGGGGATAAGATGGAGGAGGGGAATGAAGTAAGCTGCCTTGAGCCCTTTGTAGGGAAAAGGCAGGCTATAAATCCATAAATAAATAAATAAATAAATAAATACATAAATAAATAAATACATACATAAAGCACTCTGTGTACCTTCTAAAAATTTGTAGTTGGCGGTGAGAACCACTACCCGGGAGCATGCTGTCCTAAGTAACTGCAGGAGTCTTGGGCGATCTTTCAATAAAACTGCTGAGGTTCAAAGGTCTTTCCTGACTGAAGCTGGTCATCCTTGTTGCAGCTGCCATTGAGGCTTCCCGACACCTGAAGCAACCAAGACAATACTTGTAGAGCACGATTATGGAATATCCCTGCATCCTTGTCTTGGCTTTCTGTCTCCAGAGTTTTGCTTTAAAAACCTAGCAGTACAAGTTAGCAGCAAAATCTGGCTTTTAATGTCCCAGCATCACAAGGACCCCTGACCGCATCCCCAAGAATGGTTTTGGAGCAATTTAAAAATGTTTCTGGATGATAAAATGGAAGGTGCTCTTATAAATATACGAACATATGTATTACTCTTTAAATCAAAGAAACTTGTGGAGGGGGACAGAGAATGGAAGGCTAAACCAGTAATCAGAGCAGTAAATTGCACATTTCTTGTGCAGATTCTAGAATCAGGAGAAAGCTGTCAGGTGAAGGACTTGCTGTAACCCCTCTTTCTCTTCATACTTTTATAACTTTGTCTGTGGCAGTATTTTAGGGCCTGCATGCGATAACATATATTTGGGGGTTGCTGCGTGTGTTGGATTTTGTAGGCTGTGAAAAATGTACCTTGTGGACCTAACCTTTTATTTTAATAAAAGTTTCCTAGTCCTTATGCACAAATGTTCAGATATAAGGGAAGGATAGAACAAGAATTTCCAGTATTGAAAGGGAAGGCCCCTTGGTTGCCTTTGTTTCTTATATATTATTACAATTTTCTTGTCCCTGCTCTTGAGTTGGCTTTGCCCAAAATGCTGGGCCCAGCCCTCTAACCATTTCCTCCCCTCAAGTCCAAATTCTTTGCATACCTAAATTTTGGAATCAGTATTAGTTGTACAGAATAAGCCGGGAAAATGCACGTCTACGTTCCCTGAGCAGGCCATAGTGACACACAACTTCATACAGTTTGGATGGCTGTAACGTGCTTGCCTGTGGGCTGCCTTTCAAAACTGTTCAGAAACTTTTGCTAATCCAGAATACTGCAGCCAAACTCTTGACTAGGCTGGTTACAGGGAGCACGTGTCCCGCTTGTTACACCAGCTTTACCAGCTATCTCTCTGGTTTTGTTTCGAATTCAAAGTGGTGGTCATGAATATGACCTATTATTATTATTATTATTATTATTATTATTATTATTATTATTATTACATTTCTATGCCGCCCCTTGCCGAAACCTCGGGGCGGCTTACAACACGATAAAATACAATGAAATACAATAGCACATAATAAATTACCATTAAATACAAAATACAAAAAATACATTGATTTACAAATATAAGATTAAAATTATCAGTATAAATTAAGTAAATAAAAATATAGGAGGAGAAAGAGAAGGAAGAAGAAGTTGCCCTGGCCAGATCATATGTTTTAACAATTCAAATGATGTTTAAATAAAAAGGTCTTTACCTGGCGCCGAATGACTTATAATGCCCTATATACAGCTTGGACTGGACGATTGGAAAAATGCTTTCCCCCATAAAAGCATGCTGTAGAGGCCCTTCTTGTGAGACCAAAAGGCACGTGTTTTGATGCAAGGCAGGGACTTTTTGGTGGCTGCTCCCAGGCTGGGCAGCTCCTTCCCAAAGGAGGCCAGCTTTGCACTTTCTGGGTTGTCCTTTTGCTGGCAGGCAACACTGTTTTCAAGAAAGCCTTTGGCCTGTAAATGATCCTGTTTTGTCTTATAATAATGTTTTCATTCTATTTAATGTGTTTTATTCTTTTACTCTGTTTTTAAATGTTGTCTAAGCCACCTTAAGTTCCAGTTTTTTAAAAAAGGTGGGATATAAATAATGTTTAAATTGCAGAATCAGTTTTTTGCAGAAATTTAATGATTTGGGGCAAAAATGCCCATGCTCAGTGGTAGACTTCATATTCTGCAGTGGGGATGGGATGGAGAGAATACTCCCATTCTCATCTGGGTCTGTTTCATTAGTCTGTTTTGCCCATTTTGGCATAAAATCTGTGACTTTAAACACACACACCATGTTCATTATGTTTCAATATGTTTTCCAGGCATTTGAACTTAAAATGCATAGCTTTATATGCACTTTGATACATTTCTTGAGCCAAGAACTGCACTGCAATATTCAGCAAAATTAAAAAATAGGAAGCTGTGTTCCAGCCCACCTGTTTGTCTGGGAAGTGTCTTTAAAAAGGCTAGTGTCTTTAAAAAGTGCAGACCAAACAAAATCCAACCACACGGCCTATACAAAACCCCACATTCAACCCATGATGTGCCTGGTTTCAGGTAGCAGCATTGGGAAAGAGCTCTGCTGCCTCTCAGAAACTGGGTTAAATAGACTCATGTTGTACCTTGGTAGAAGATAGTGCTTTGTAAACACGTGTTGTTTCCTAGAACTCAGAGAGTAAAAGTGGAGGCGGAAGGATGGTGTTTCCACGCAGACCAGAAACACGCATGTTTGATCAGTGTGGTTGTGACCTCCACTCCCAAGTTGGTGGGGAGATCCCCCTTCTCTTGTCTGGGGCAATTGTGACAGAAAAATTATTTTTTCCTACGTTTCACAATGAGAGGACTTGACTGCCCTATTCCAGCAAGAAAGGGAGGGGAATATATCTTTAGGATTACCTCACTCCTTACATCCTTGCTGGGGAACATGATCCTTGGAGCTGAACATCTGAGGTATTAATGATGCTCTCCATTGAGGCATGCCAGAATGGAGCATCTTTTCCAGATCCCTGGGCATCAGTTAAAGACCCACCTCAGGCTTCCTCTCAGGTGTGGCTCAGCCAGTTCATTTATTTATTAAATTTATATGTCTCCTCATAGCCCACAGGCCCCTCTGGACAGTTTATAAATAGTAAAATCATCAAACCAATTCTTAATACATAGTTTTCATTTTATTAAGCACTGATTATTTTATTGCTATCATGTTAATTTCTTCCATAATTTTTATTGGAAAACAGTTTACAAGTTTGTGTCATTAAATAGAAATGAAAAATAAATAAACTCCTGGCCTTAGAGGAATAACTTTCTCTTTTCTATGCTTGCAGAAGTCTTCTCATGACAAACCATCACCATAAAAGGAGTGAGGAAATTCCATTTTCCTGTCACCACTCCATATATATATTTATACTATATATTCTCTCTCTCTCTCTCTCTCTCTCTCTCTCTCTCTCTCTCTCTCTCTCACACACACACACACACACACACACACAGAGAGAGAGAGAGAGAGAGAGAGAGAGAGAGAGAGAGAGAGAGATTTATATAAGTCTAGAAATTTCCCAGATTGACACACAGACCCACAGAGCAGTTTTTAGTTTTTTTTAGAAGGCAGTGAAGCATCCCTCTTTGAATTCCCTTTTCTAGAGCACATGCTCTAGAAACTAGGTAAACCGTGTGGAACTGAGGGACTTCCTTCCTGCTAATGATGACAAATGTCTCCATAGGACCTCCGTCCTGTCCTTCCTGAGAACAGTCTTTGGGCCAATTTCCAATCTTGAGAAGAAAGCACATCACCTAAAAGTGCTGCAGAATGTAATGCGTGAGGCTTGGAAGGATTCAGACAAGACAATCCTCAGTCTCAAAGGCTGCAGACGGTTCATGTTTTTACTTACTTCCTTTGCAGATGAAGAAGAGGCGCTCAACTCTATCATGAAAGATCTTGCAGCCTTGGGCAAATGTGGAGGTCTCCTCGACAGCAACCGGAACAAAAACCATGTCCATTCCAGCAAACAGGTGAGCAATGGTTCCCGGAATCCCTTCTGCAGTACGCAGAGCGTTTGTTGTGCAGCTCAAAACAGCTTGCAATTTGTTCTTGGCTGCAGAATTGCACTGCCCTGGAATTACGTGAGAAACATAATATTAACTGGCATCTGTTCCTAATGTCCTTTCCTGGAATCATGGCAACTTGGGTAGCTTATTTGAGCAACCTGTAAAGTTGCAGTCAAAAGTGGTTTTGGTCTATCAGGGAGAAGTGAATTTTGTCTTGGATCAGAACCAGATCAGGCATTGCTTTGACAAACATGACTTTCCAGTCTTCTGTGTCCTGAGAGAACAGGGAGTGGGGCTGGACACATTCGCGTGGGGTGATCCGTGGGAGGGAGGGCTCATTAATACCTGCCACTTCTCCTCTTTCTCCTGGCCTCCTTTCCCAGAACTAGGCTTAATCTCCTGTTGCAGAGATGCACTGGGGGACAATTGCAGGGGAAGCCTGCATGGGCAGAGGGAAGATTGCTCACTTTCCTTTTGAAAGGCAAGATGAGTCATTTTGGCTTTATGGATGGAATTGTAGAGAAAGAAGGGACCACGGGAGACATCTAGAGCCAACGTCTTGCCAAGACCAGCCCTTCCAAAATCCAGGCTACAACATACCCTAGGAAGAGAGCGGCTGCATTGCCTAAAGGTGCTGAGAGAGCAAAATCACCAAGAGGAGACCCATCTGGTAACAGCTCTTCTCACTTGGTGCCCTCCAGATGCAGCTCCCACAAAGGGAGTTGTAATCTAAAACTTCTGGAAGGCACCACTTTGGGGGAGGCTGTATTAACATACGAAGCTGATTTGTCTGGATTTGGGCCATCGGCCCAGCTGTCCGCTCTGCATGGAAGCAGCTCTGCAAAGGGTTTCCCCACCTCTGTCCTGCAAGATTAGTTCATGGCAGATTCTTCCCTAGAGTAAGCGTGGCGCCGTCTTCCTGCAGAGGGCACACTGGGCTACCAGGTGCGGGAGCCAGTGTGGTGTCACGGGGGGAGCAAAAGATTTGAGGCAGGGGAAGTGCAGCGCTTCCTCTTAGCCACGGAGAACACATGGAGTTAGCCTTGATCTCAGTAGGCCAGAATGCTGGGCAGAGAGCAATAGAATGAAGTTCAGGAGGGACAAATGTCAAGTCCTCCACTTTAGGAAATGAATTGCACCGGCTCAGCAGTGCTGCAGATGAGAAGGATCTTGGGCTGGTTGTCGATCACATATCGGCTAAATATGAGCCGACCGTGTGATGCAGCTGCAAAAAGCACAAATGCTATTTTACCTGCATTAACAGAAGCACCACTTCCAAAACATGTGAAATATTAGTTCCCCTATATTCAACATTAGTCAGACCTCACCTGGAGTCCTGTGTCCAGTTCTGGACACCTACGTTTAAGAAAGATGTGGACAAGCTGGAAAGGGTCCAGAGGAGGGCAGCAAGGATGATCCAGGGGTTGGAAACACTGCTCTGTGAGGAGAGATTGAGAGAACTGGACATGTTTAGCCTCGAGAAGACGGAGGGGAAAGATGATAGCGCACCACAAGTACCTGAAAGGCTGCCACAGAGGGGAAGGACAAGATCTCTTCTCATCCATTCCTGAGTGCAGGACATGCGTTAAAAGAAACCAGATTTAGACTAGACACACCAGGAAGAATTTGTGCACTGTCAGAGCAGTACGACAGTGGAATCTATTACATTGGGAAGTTGTGAGCTCTCCCTTGCCGGAGATATTCAGAAGGCATCTGAGTGGGATGGTGTAACTTAGTGACCTGCACCAGCAGGAGGTTGGATCCATTGGCCTTCTGCCGCTCCCAACTCTAGCATTCTGAGTCTGTCAACCAGGCCTACATCTCGGGGGCTGTTGCGAAGATGAAGTGGAGAAATTGTCATTGCCTCTCTGAGTTCTTCAGAAACTGCCTTTAGTGGAAGCTGCTAGAGACAGTGAGGTGCAGTGTGGTGTAGTGGTGAGGCTGTTGGGCTGGGGACCTCGGAGGTCCGGGTTCTAGTCCCCATTTGGCCATGGGCTCCCTGGGTAACTTGGGGCCAGTCCCTCACTCTCAGCCTAACCTACCTCACAGGGTTGGTGTTGTGAGGATGAAATGGAAGGCCAGGAAATGTTTTAAATAAAGTGAATGAAAACGCCAAGGCTCTGGGTGGGCTGCTATGCAGCCGATTCTTTGCAATGATTTGGTGAGGTAGCAACTGAGCAATGGTGTCTTGTCAGGAGAATTATTTAGCAACCGAGCAAGGAGGATGCTGCGAGAGGTGCATGGAAATGAATGTTGAGGACCAAAGTTCAGGGTGGATCACATGCTGTGCATGCGGTTGGTCCCAAGTGCAGGTCCCGGCATCTCTAGATAAAGCAGTGAAGCAGCTGGTGGGAAAGATCTCTCTGCCTGAGAACCCTAGAGCAAATTTCCCCAACCTGGTGCCTTCCAACGTTCTAGTCTTCAACTCCCATCAGTCCCAGCCATCATGGCCAGTGGTCGGGACTTCTGGGAAATGTGGTACAAAATGCCTGGTTGAGTGAAGTGGCTGTGGAGAGCCTCCAAGGGTTATGGTAGGCAATCCTGATCCAAGGAGGCATGTGTTCTGCCTCAATCTAAGGCTTGTTGTTGTTGTCGTCGTCGTCTTCGTCGTCGTCGGCCATCAAGTCATCTCATGGCAACCCCGAGAAGGAAAGCCCTCCAAGATGTCCTGCCCGTGACAGCTCCATTCAGCTCTCCCGAGTTCGTAGCAACTTCCTCGACTAGGTCCATCCATCTCATATTTGGGCTTCCCTTATGTCTTCTACCTTCATTTTTCTCTAACGTTATTGTCTTTTCCAGGGAGTTTTGCCTTCTCATGAGGTGCCAAAGTATGACAGCCTCAGTTTGGCCATTTTTGCTTCTAGGGAAATTCTGGCTTGACTTGTTTGTCTTTCTGTCAGTCCACGGTATTCACAAAGCGCTCGTTCAGCACCATGTTCTGAACGCATCGATCTTCTTTCTGTCGGCTTTCATCAGTGTCCAGCTTTCACATCCAGACATAGTGACTGGGAATACAGTGGTGTGGATGATCTTGACCTTGGTTACTACCGAAATGTCTTTACACTTGATGATCTGTTCTTGTCCCCCCATTGCTGCCCTTCCAAGTCTCAGACGTCTTCTGATTTCTTGGCTGCAGCCTCCCTTTGAAGTGATGACTGAGCTGAGGTATGTGAAATGGGTCCCAATTTCGACTTCTAAGGTAGCTTCTCGAGTGCGTTTTACGGGGGCTTGAGCTTCAGCTGTTGAGCAGACATCCTTGTGGTACATTGAGTAAAGACGGCACTGTGACCCTCTTCCCCCACTTGAGAAATCCCATGCCAGGAAAAGTCGGTACCAAAGTGACGCTCCTTGTTGATGGAAGCTGAAGCTCGGCATCCATCACTTTTGATGTGTGTCCTTCAGGGTGGAATGGCTCTTCTAGCTGAACCGGACGCTCGCAGCAGCTTGTGCTGAAAATGATCCAAGATGTTCAGCAACTACGACAGCTCCCAAACAGCTGGAGTGGTGTCAGATGACCCAGCAAGGCTTTTGCTGGCTTGTGGGGGGATTAACATTTTAGGGAAAAGGACGGGCGGAGACCGCGTGTGGCAGGGACCATCTTGGAACCATCTGAGAACAATCTGAATGTAAGAATTTATTTGTGAATTGAAGGCTTTCTTTACCAAGGCTACAACACATTCCTTCGTTTTCGTTTCCCAAGGTTAAACCTTGCCTGTATTTACCACCGTTGCTTGAATATTTGCCTCCCACACCCCTTCCAAGCTTAGTATACGCCCACATCTTCCCCTCTCCTCTTTATTTTTTCTTTGGAAGACCTGAGCATTTTCAGCATGGACTGTCTTGCACTATGACAGGAAAAACACAAGAAGGAAGGGCAACGTTGTCAGAAGGGGATGGAGCTTAAGTCATCGCTGTAGTGATCAAGTACTCGGAAGCCTCGTCAGTGAGGGGCACTTAGATTCATAGTGGAAATCTCTGGATTGAAGTAAAGGGATATCAAATACGATTCTTTGCTTCAGCCAACATCTGATTTCAGCACTATTTCATCTGTATTTCATCTGGCTTCAGCAGTTGCTTGGCAACCAAAATAAGCACACAGCGAATGGCTCCTTCCTCCAGTTGCTGTGTGTGGAATTCACACTCAGGCCCTGCCGAGACGCCGTGAAAACGACAGGATTGCCGTCTCCTCTCTGTCTTGCCTGCAAGCTGCCCCTCTCTTACTTCACTCTTGCTTCCGACCTCAGTCAAAGTGGAGGGTCATCCATAGCCAGTCCCTCCTTGCATCACGGGCTGTTCCATGACGCACCGCACAATCGGGTCTGATCGGGCTGTGTGTCTACCGAGAGCCACATGGAGAAAACAGCCAGCTCCTTTCTGTCACTTTTTTGCCATTTTAATGGCACACTCCATTTTTTATTGCAAGCAGCAGCCATTTCTTCAGGGAATGCGGCATGAAGTCATGATTCACCTCATTCAGAGCTGCATTGTTGTTGTTTTTCGGATTTTCCAATATTTCTCCTAATCTAAACCAGGCAGTGTGGCTGCGTCCTGTCCTCCTGCTGAAATCTTCCGTGAAATTTAAGAAGAAATTTTGTTGGTGTCCGTCTCTCTCGCTCTCTATTTCTCATACACACACACACCCCAGAGGCGGGGGGGCGGGCATGAAGCATACATTAAAGCTGCGGTTTTCTCTCTCATGGGATGGAGGCATCCATCTTCTCCCTGCGACTCAGGTGCTGATTTGGCTTTCTCTGTTCTTTCTGTGGGCTGATGAAGGCTCCTCAGCCAATCTCAATGGTCTTACGGAATGGCCACAATGTCTGAACACAAGGAAATTGCAGTCCAGCACCTCTGGGGTGCACCAGATGGGGTTCAGCTGCTGCAAGAGTCCTTCCAGGGTGTAACAGCAGCTGTTTCAAGATGCACCTTTCGGAGCCTGGCTTATTTGCGAGGTTTTCCCCCAG